ATGCAACGATTATATCACTGTACCCCTAGTCATTATTAGATTCATATTGATTCTCTTAGGTGGCTTGAGCTTCTTTTACCAGAAATGACAAAGTGGACTCTTTAGTTTGAGCTAGTACTTTCCATAACCAGAATAACTTTGGAAGACAGTTAAACACAGCTCCTGAGTGATAAGTTGACTAGGGGACTTTTGAGAGAAAATTTATTTGCACAGACAAGCTTCCTTTAGCAAGGAGATTTAGGAGTTCATAAGACAGTAAAGGAAGTGCTTAATGTGTTGATGCTTGGGTGCATCAGTAGGAACACCTAGACTGATTAAACATGAATGTGCCACTACCCATTCTGTTAATCAGTATTAATACTAAATTACAATTTTATAACAAATTTTGGGCTCCCATGGCTCTGTGAGCACTTATGCTGCACTTCTTAATATACTGTGCTGATGCTTTGAAAGCTAGTGAATAACATGGTTTACTGGGAGGAAAAAGAATACTGAAGAGTACTTATTAACCCCAGCAACTTAGATTTCTTCTCTCAGCAGACTGGCTATTTTTGAGATTATTGCTTGTTCCAGGAAAAAAATGTGTGGTCTTCACCTACTCTTTTACAGGGCACAATGCTTGTTGAAAAAATGTGATGGCCTAATTTTCTAGGGCTTTCCTGTGCAACATACCATGGGTGCTGCACTTTTTAATACCATTTTTTATTTTCAGTTTATTTAGTCAATTTATTGTCTGGACTCATTGAAACACAACTTGTTATCCGGTGTCAGGCTAGTGAGCATTGGCCAGCCACGGAGAGATGGCTTCAAGAAAGAAATGCAAGACTATACCCAGAATCAGCCAGTTCTGATCAGTTTAAGGTACTAGGCTATCAGTGGCGAGTGATGCGTTTTAATGACCATACACGGCAAAGCACTGCAAAAGTGATGACATGTTATAGGACTTCGGGTCAGAGATCATTGTTCTTGATGCAGCAACCACATGTTTTAGCTGTTCCTTGTGAGTTCACTTGTACCATCTTGCATTCATTATGATGGCATGTTCATTTTGTTCAGTTAACTTCATCTATTCATTTAGGGAGATTGATGCTCGTGCCCCTTTGAAGGCCAATTTTGATTTTATCCTCGTTTTCCTAACTTTGTGATTTTACTCTCATTTTTTGAATCCGAAGCCACTGTTTGCCCATGTTGTAGACTAGGCCGAACAAATGAATTAAAGAAAAAGAACAAAATATTCAAACACAATTCTACCCGTAACCTTATCCTAACCATCCTGGTTCTGCCAATGGTTGATTAAGCATGTGTAACTTGTTAAACTTTGCTCAGATTTGAAATATTTGCATTTTCTTTTGTAAAAATTCTTTCAGAATGATGCACAAATATATAATGTCAAAATAGAGGGTAAAATCACAGAGTGCTAAAAAAACTAGGGGCAGATTCGAATGGGCAAACTAGTCCTTTTTGAGCTGAACAGACACTGTTAACTCCTCTTTACAGAAAGGGTAAACTCTGCCTTCGCTTTGAAAATGCAGGAGCAAAATCACAAAGTTAAATAAATGAGGGCAAAATCACTATTGGACTTCAAAACAGGGGTAAGAACACAAGAGCCCCTGTTCTTTTATGTCTGCTAATCTACAATTTGGAAAGAGCCATCCTTGCACATAACACAAGCATAACCATTTACATACCAGTCATACAGTCAAAATATACTAGTAGCATTTATGGTTTCCCTGATTATTTCTTAATTGCTACTGTTAAATATTATAATACTTGCATATGTTTTATTGGTAAGTTTGCATGCACTGAGCTATCAGATGCAAATGCAATGCAATTAGTGTTTATGTTTGTGCTGTATCTTTTACCTCAACACCATCATACACTTCTGAAAGTTGTTATTTTCAGATGTCAAGAGTATGGTATCAGCAGGATTGACAGCGCTTCCTTGTTCTTCATATGATCTTCCACTAGCAGCATCTGGACAGAACACTATGAAAATTCTGTGCATCGGCCATGGTGGCGGAACCTTACCATTGTTTTTGGCTAGCAAGTTCCGAGGTAAACACTATCACAATCTTCAGCTATTCATAGTATTGATACATTTGCAGTGCAACTTCCCACTTGCTGATACTTTGTTTACTGCATACTGTAGTAAAGTGAAACCTTTCCAGCATTAGGGTTTTATTGCAATTTCTTGCTTATGCTTCGTTTCCTGCGTATGTTGATGAAGTGAATTTTTCCTGTCTTAGTTGGTTGACTCGTATCTTGACACCTGATTCGTTGAACTTCAGAATTACTATTAAATTGCACTTGAATAGACGATTGACTGAAAAAGGTGCATCCCCTGTGTCAGACTGCTTGAAGTCAAATCATTTCTTTTGTTCTCACGTGTTATGCATTGTGCAGATACACCTGTAGATATTTTGGGCCTCCGCTACATTATAATGCCTGATTCGCAATTTGGCTCTTTCAGGTGCTACCATCCACATTGTGGAGATTGATCCAGTGGTTGTTTCAGCTTCAATTGAATCCATGGGTTTCCCCGTGTCATCTGTTAAAGGCTTATCGTCTGAGTCCATGCTACCTGCCGACGCTGATGATCTATTATGGGGAGGCATACATGACCGCATTTTCCTGCACATAGCAGACGCTGAGGATTTCATCGCCAACGACAGCAACGAATATGACATTGTCTTCATCGACGCCTACGACGGAGACGACGTATTTCCTCGCAAGCTCTGGGACGTCGACGGGGCATTCATGAAGAACCTAGAGAAGAAAGTGCACCCCATCCACGGCGCCGTGGTCGTGAACTTGCACTCCGATTCAGAGCTGCCAGCCTCCGAGGCAGAAGGCAACGCCGATTTCCAGAGCATACTTCCCATGGGCAGGCACGTCTCCCAGGTCTGCAGGGCTTACAAGCAGCACTTTGGGCTGGCCTTCACAGCCGCCGTTCCGTGGCTCTGCAACATCACTCTCGTCGCCTGCCGTGACAAGGGGATGACGAGCGGCGCGTGCCTGGGGCTGAGCCACCGGGATTTCGTTCTTGGCAAGCTTCTGTCGAGATCCGATATGGTGGAGCGTGCGCTGGACCTGCCGTTCCCATGCCTGCCGTACATCAAGAACGGTTTTACGATGGTTCACTGATATGCATGCGTTTTCTGTGGAATTTGATTATCTGAATGGTATGTTTTGAGCTGGAAATCACCTTTTTTTATAACTTGCTGGGAATCACCTTGTTTTCTCCTCGAAAATGTCTGCGGAGCATGTCTCTTGCAGTCTTGCAGATATCCTGTTGATCGTAGCTCGTGCAGTGGTTCCGTTGTACTAGTAGTCAGCAGGTACCGATGGCAGGTGCTGGGGCACTGGCACAGGTGCCCAAGGCTTTGTGAGGACTGCTTGAAAAGCTGTGCTGTCACTAAACGAGCCAGCAGTAAATGATCGTAAATTTTCAGCCAGAATAGTATTTTTTTCTCACACTAAATCAGCCAGCAGTAATAATGTACGATCGTTTCAGCCCCACCCGAACAGGCTGGCTTGCTCTGTCGTTTCATTTTTTTTTCTCCCTCTCGTGAAGCTATATGGCTGGATGTATCAGTGTGACGCGTGGTGATTCAGTTGTGAGTACTCCGTAGTTTTGTCACAGCATTCAGTACATTGGTCAGCAGTGGACGGACGAATTCGCAAGAGTGGACTGGAGCTTTCCTCCACCGATCAATCGGAGGCGATCGAGGACCCGTTGCTTGCGAGCTCTGGTTCTGGAGCTGCGTCGTGGCCGTGGACTCGTAGGCGTAGGAGGGAGGAGTCCAAGTCTCCAACTGGTACAAGGCCCAACGCCGACGCGTTACAAAAGGTAGCTGCACAGAGGAAACGGCCCGACACATCCTGCAGGCCCCCGCACGGGCGCACGGCTCGTCGCTGCTACAGCATACAGCAGTCCTACACGGTGGCGGGTTGGAGCGTTGCTGCCGCCGCCCGTCGGTCCCGGCCCCGAGTCTTGAGGGTCGTCGCGGCCCGGCGACGGGAGGAAAAGGAAAGGTGGTTCACAATTCACAAAAGACTCCAACGACTGTGATAACGTGATCCCGGCAACCGTATGAGCGGATAGAGAACTCGGTGTCACACGGCATGGCAGTTTATTAATTTTATAATTTTTGGCTCGCCAGAAGTCGTGGCCGCCGCAGCAGGGCCAGCGGCGCGCACGTGAGGTACATTAAACCGGACGCCGACGTGCATCTAGCATGGCAGCCCACGAGGTGCTTGCGGTTGCCGATAAAGACCGCGTACGTTACAGGCCAAATGCGGTTGACAAATGGCAGAGGCCTCTAGTCCAAAACAAAAGCGGGGTCTAGCTAGTCCATTGCCCTTAAGCTGCCGCCGGCGGCCGTGGTTGCATGAATCACACGCGTGTTGCAAGAGAAGAGGTTGTTATCTGTCACGGAATGGGCCTTATGTCATGCATAGTGATTGGTCTACACTAGCTAATGGGCCCGTAAGCCGACTTGTATGTCGCAGGGGTGTAATTCCTGGGCTTGGCCCAATATCGTTTTGCACTATGTTAAAACTTGCTATGTGGGCGGTTGGGCGGACAACAATCAAGTAAAACCTAAATTTCCCAATCCTTCTTCTTCCTTCCGGTGCCGACCTGCTTCTGAGGCGGCGTTGCCGTGCTCCTCGCCGTGTGTATACGCCGGCAACACCTTCTTGTATCTCCAGACCGTGACATTATCCTTATCATCATGGGTCATCGATCTTGAGCTCCTTTTCTTTTTCTTACAAAATCGACAACGAGTCACATGCAATGCACCTAGTCGAGAACGTGTTAGCTCGTCAAAGAACGAATAGGCTGCCGAGTGCTGACCGATCGATCCATACAGCCAAGTGGCCTGCTGGTTCCATGTCACCATGATATATAAATCGAGACACGAGAGGTTAGATCTCGAGGAACAAAGCCTCCCTCGCCTTTTCCTCTCTCATGTGACAACTGAGAAGCCGATCGGAGGATGTTGCTGAGGAGCTCGTCCATGCCATTCCTATACCCTTTCCTCTCCTCTTCCCCGTCGTCCCGCCGCTCCTCCCTGCACCTCCGCCGCGCCTTCTCCGACGGCCACCTCCCCTCCCTCCACCTGTCGTCGTGGTCCACCCCCAACGACACCAGCAGCAACCCCAGCGGCGGCCTGCACACCGAGCTCTCCTTCTCCATCTACAAAACCTTTGATGGCAAGGGCGAGGTCGTAGCCGCACCGCTGGCGTCGTCGTCGTCGTCCCAGGGACTGGCGGCTCAGCAGGAGCATCAAGAGGAAGGGGTGATAGACTTGTAGGACCTCTAGGTGCAGATCAGTGGAGAAATTTTTAACTTAAATAAGCAGACTTGGTAATGTACCTCGTCGAGTGCAGCCGCGGCCGTGGCGCCACCAACAAAGTGGCCGCGACGTGTCGGTGTAGGGGAAGCCGTGCAGACGCCCACTAGGTCATCGACAGTAGCAGCAGCGTAGGCGCGGACCAGCGGCGACGGTGAAGGCGGTGTGGACTTCCCATCGCTTACAGTGCGCCCTTCTAGATCGGACTAGGGCTAGGAACCTCGGTGGGGCGCTGGTGGCTACGGTGAACCTCGTACCTTGCGCCCCGGCCCCCACCTTCCTCTTTATAGTGCTGCGCGACGGGGTCCATCAGCTAGGAGAACGACTGGGCGCCCCCGATCAGGGCGCGGATCAAGAGCCCAATTGGTCGTTGGGCCAACTGGTGAAAATCAGTCTAATATTCTCCCCCTTAATCTCACCTTATAACTTAAACTTAACTTACTTTATCTTTTTTCCTATTCCATCGCATATCAGTGCATAGAGTGTGCCTCATCGTCACGGTCAGTTGCCATTAGATTAAACAGCTACAATGCACCTTTCTATTTTGAAACAGATTCTCAACTAGGCCTTAGTATCCAGAAATCATAGGCTTTCCCATAAACCCATGTCGACTATGTGTTCTCTGAACGCACTGGGTGGTTAGCCTTTGGTAAGCGGATCCACAAGTACTTGCTTGGTACTTATATGCTCAATGCTTTTAAAATAATTCTGGATTTTCTCCTTTACAACATATAACTTAATGTCAATGTGTTTGGCAGCACACTTGATATGTTGTCTTAGGAGTTAACTACTTTAAATGGTTATTGCTGTTGACTACCATTGTTAAATCCGGGTATATATTCCCTTAACCACTTTTGCCTATTTTGGAGACCTCATTACAAGCTATACTATGGTATGCATCATTGATGACACCACAACTGTTTCATTAGAGCTTTTCCACAACAATACTCCAACTGCGAGTGTTAGGAACTACTATAGATTTTAGTGCACATCTCGCCAAAACTTAACATGTGTAGCCACAACTATTTGAGAGTACTTGTTCTTTCTTACTCAGCATGAGTCCTATGATACTTTGCAAAAAATGCAAGACATTCTTAACTCCATTCCAGTGATCTATATCTGGACTGGACTTCTGCTAAAATATCCCGGATACGTAAGCTACGTCAGGGTAAGTTCTTACTTGTACATTCATTAAGCTTCCAACAGCTGAAGCATATGGAACCATGTTCATTTGACCGATCTCATATCGGTTCCTAGAACACTGAAAGTTCCCAAATCAATTACCCTTGACTATAGGAACAGGCGTAGGTTTACTCGCATGCATACTTTATTTCTTTATAATCTTTTCTAAGTATGCCTTTACGATAGTCCTAATAGCCCTTTTCATCTATCTCGGTGAATTTCAACTCCTAAAACCAATGAGGCTTCACCAAGATCATTCACAATGAAACTTGAGGACAAAGACTTCTTCTCCAATGGCAGATTAACATTACTACTAGTGAGTAGGATGTCATCTATACACAGGATGTGACAAAAGAATTTTCCATTCTAGAACTTCGCATAAACGCTATTGTCCTTCTTATTTTCTTTAAACCCAAACTTTCTTATTGTTTCATCAACTTCAAATACTACTGTCTAGAGACTTGTTTTAACCCATAAATGAATTTCTTCAGGCGACATCTCATAAGTTCTTTTTCTTCCATGACAAAAACCTTTGGGTTGTGCCATGTAAACGTTTTCATACAAATCCCCGTTGAGGAATGCCGTCTTTACATCCATCGGATTTAACTCTAAATCATAATGTGCCAATAACATCATTATGATTCTAAAAGAATTCTTGCATGAGACTGGAGAGAAAACTCTCATCGTAATCTATTCATTCTCTTTGCGTAAAGCCTTTGGCTATAAGTCATGCTTTATATCTTTCCACATTCCCTTTGGAGTCATATTTTGTCTTGTAGACCCTTTTCACAGCCTACTGTTTTGGCTCTATTAGGAATTTCTTTGAAGTCCCAAACATCGTTGGTATTCATCGAATTCATTTCAACTTCCATAGCTTCTTGCCATTCAAACGACTAAACGTTTCTCATGGATTCTTCAAATGAGGTGGGATCACCCTCTATTTGAATTTCTTCACTAACATAGACTTCATAGTCATCAGAAAACTGATTCTTTGAGACCTTCTGGGGCCTCAGCTACTAGCACTTTTTATATGGGGGTGTTGTTGCTCTTTATTGCCAAGAGGCAATTGATTCTACAGGCTCCTATATCACAAGATCCTTGTTTACATTATTCATCTTCTTCGAAGAGCCAACAATAGGTGTTATATAAGTCATACAACATCAATAGATATCGAGAAATTCGTTGTTTTGAATCACTGAAGTGGGCACGTAGTCCCGCTTCTCTTCAAGTCATAGGTCTCTACTACCATGCTCCCCCAGATCGTCTCATCTTTTATAAAGATAGTGTATATTTCAATTTTTTATTTGGGTTCAATCTGTTAAAACCTTATATGGCGCTTTAACCACCGCTTTAATATCTTTGATGGTGACTACGCTATCTTCCTCTCGGAACTTTCAAAAATCCAGGAATTTAGGTGTTTCTCTGCTTAGGGGTATCATTGTTATGACCGACAGTCACTGCCGGGTTCATAAACCCGGGGTCCCTCGTGGACCGTCCTCCCAACAAAGGTTTGGCCCAAGCAGACAAACGCATAACTGATGGGCCGGCTGAAGTACCTAAATGATAGGCCAAAGGGGCGATCGAATCTCCGATTGGGAGGCCTGGCCGAGGAAGAACAGCGCCCGCTTTCCAATTCCGGACCACCTCTCCGACTGGAGCATTCGCTTCGGTCTCCAGCCTGCCTCCGGACGGCCTCTCCGACCGGAAGGCCTAGACAAAGCACTACTTCTGACTCCAACCCACGTCTCCGATCGAGGATGTGCCAAACCCCTATTCACGGCTCTTCTCCGACTGGCACGATCGGAGCCGACTGGGACCAACCAACCGGGAACGCCCGCTCGGAAAGGACCAGGGAGCGAACGGAGAAAGCAAGGCAGGGCGCACAAGTCAAACCACGATACCAGGGACCGTATCCTGTACACCTGTAGAAATAGTACTATGCAACCTCCCTAGCACAACAGAGCCCAAACAGTGTTGTAGGCGCCGACATTTTCCCTACAGTATTGTGGGCACCATTAACTCCCATACGATAAGGTTCCCCCACATGCCTCTGGGCATCAATAGTGTTGTGGGCGCCGGCATTTACCATACTGAGTGAACATGGTGGAACTCCTCACATGCCTCTGGGCATCTACGGTATAGCAGGTACCGACATCTGCCATACCCAAACAAGACGACGCAACCTCCCACGTGCATCTGACATCCAATAGTGTTGTGGGCGCCTACCATCATCCTGTACCCACCGGTGTAAGCAACAAGGCTTAGAAGCATACGTACTCTCTCCCTCTCACTTGTAAGGCTATCCCCTTCATCTATAAAAGGTAATGCGCTCTCTCCTAACAGGGAGGTAGATTCAGGTCATTCCAGATTCATTAGATCGATCAAGTTCACTAGCACACAACAGCAGAACCACCAGGTCCAAACCATGAGCACACGCTCTAACACTTGGCTCGTAGCGGAGCTCTTGTCACTCTCGGCCCTTCCGACCAGAGTCCGACCGGACCTCTTTCTCATTCTCGTTTGTAACCCCACTGCAAACTTCGAGCACCTGGGCTTACAAAAATAAAGTCACCAACCGACTCAAACTGGACGTAGGGCATATTGCCTAAACCAGTATAAACCCTGTGTCATTGAGTGCTAGGCCACCTCCGATCACAACGTACAACAAAACTACAAATATTTACTTGTTGGTCACTTTCTGCATCGACAGTTGGCGCCGTCCATGGGGGAGACGCTGTACGTTCAACACTTTTTGGTCATCGGATGGCCCATTTTTTTGCCACCTTCGTCGTGGTGGACTCAGGCGATACGACTCGCTTTGGCCCACCTTTCCCGCACTCCCACGTGTTGGGATGTGGGTTCCACCCGTCTCCAAGCCGTCCCAGGCCTTCCTCTTCGAAAGCCTGGACTTCGTCGCTGACCGGCTCGGCATACTACACCTCCGCGAGGAGGCACTCGTTCTAGCGCCCATCGGAGGGGGCGTCCTCCATCAGCTCTGGGATGTGTGACGATTTCAACAACGAGGCATCTGTGCTTCATTCTAAGCAAACTCTCTGCTCAAACCCCGCTGTAAGTAATGTACATGCTGTTATCTACTTACTATTCTCTATTCTCCGCCAATTACCCGGAGGGACCCCGTTGTCCCCGTCACGACCGCCATACGACCGGTTCTCCTACGGCCTCACGTCTCCCGCGGACGCGTACGCCCAGGGGCTCCGAAGGATGCCGGCGCCGCCCCCTCTCACGTCTGAATTCGTGGGGATGGCGAGCTATGCTCCCACCTGTTTCCTCGACCTCATGGATGACGATGTTGAGAGTGACAGCTCCAGCATCGGTGACGTGGCGCCTAGCCACCGTCCATCCTGGGAGTGCGCTATGGCGGACGCTCTGGGACAGCCACCAGTGGTAGCGAAGTCCTTGCAGACTCACACCCCTCTGGACCCTCGTGTGGAGACCCCCATGCTCTCACGGAAGCACGGCAAGGAACTACAACAACAGTGGCTGCACTAGCCACCGACTGCGCCAGCGCGCTCGGCACACCACACTGTGCCCCGTGCGCATAAATCGGTGAGTGGCGCTCGAGGTCGAGCCCATCGAGTCCAGCGCAACACCATGGACAGGGGGAACGATCCCCCATAGTTCGCTCGGGCCAATCAGAACATCACCGCTGCGACAATGCTTCTGCGCGGCGCTCCCGAGCCGAACGACCCTTAGGAACAGACGATCCACCGAAACCTCCGGGCACTAGTGGAGACCGCCGCCGTTCAACAAGTGGAGAG